ACATGGAGAGCAATTGTAGCAAAAAAAAGCAATCAAAATATCAGAGTAAACCAGTCCATGGACTGAAAAAATTAATAACCAAAGTCTCTTCGTGAAACCCGTGGCGCCGCTAACCGTCGGCTGGTTTCTAAGGCTAACGAACGCTGATTTGAGCCTCGCATTTTGACAGAGATTTGGTCTATATCATATCAGAGAGAGACGCAGAGAAAAAGAAAGGAAACGAACTGTTGCTCTACATCAATTATGATAGCAACAGTGAGTTTAATATGTTGAACTAAATAATCAATCAATTAATCAATCGATCAACCCCAAAGACTATCATGGCCTAATAGAAAAAGATCAGAAAATTCACCTGAAGCTCTTTGTGATCAAACATTCGGAGCCATTCCAAGTTAATAACATCTGACAGTCCCGCCCTGAAGGCTTGACAATGCCGGTGAATCTGCAACACATTTAGCCCATTACAACGTCATTTGTTTGTACAACGACCACAGTCTGACAAATTATCATGGGAGAGGGTGAACTACTTGGTTACTACACAGCGTGAAACGACTAGCTGCTTGGTGTTAACTAGTTAGTTTAAGAAGGATATCTCTCATTCTCAGAAGCATTAATTACATGACAAAGAAACAGAGGAAAGCACCACCGTAACATGTCGAACATGGAATAGTGGAAATCCGATGATAATACGGACGAACTTTTTTTTCAGATTTATTCAATTCCAATTATTGATCATTAGAACCTATCCAGCACAGTACATAGCACTGTCTTCAGTGTACGGTAGATAGTACATTTATCTTACATCACTATACGACTAGGAAGTGAAATTTCCTATTTTGCAAGCACAAGAGGAAGATGAACATTTCTAGAAATTCGCTTACAATAAATTGGCGAACTTTGCGGCCGGGGCTACTGCCGAGTTGGAATTAAACTGACCTGTTTGTTAAGCCTGTAATCGGCAACAAGGTAAATATAACTTATTCTGTTGCTATTAGTAACTGGAATGTTCCTGCCACCCGGTTTCAACTCCACAACCTGTGAGAAGAAAGTAAAATGCTTGACGAGAAAAGCAACATAAAAAAAAAAATACAAAAAGAGTTAAGAAGAGATAGGGTGTTTTTGGGTTTCATATAGCTTATCGGCTATGGTCAGCTCATCAAGAGGAAGAATAGAGGGTTGAAAGAGAGAGACAGGAACACAGCTTCCCTTTCAGGTTGTGAATATTTGTTTATTCAATTCAATTTGTTATAAGATGGATCGATTGCGGTGTAACGAGCCATAATGGCAAGTTACAAGTTCCAGATAAGGTCAACGTTTGGAACGGGAGCTAACTGTAATTACATCAAATTTGTTTTAGAGAACTTTCGATTCAATCGTGAAGTGATCTGTAAAGAGATGAATTAGAGGAGGGAAGGAAAGCGAAGAGGGAGGAATTTAGCGGAGATGGGGGTAGGGAAAGAGTTTTAAATACTCTGAAATTCAGCCAGTTTTTCCGAAAGCTAGCCTGTGCATACAGCTATCTCTTCTCGCTCCACGCCGCAAGGAACGTCCCATGAAACGTTCTTAGCGGCGAGGAGTAAGGAGAGATGGCTGTAGTTTGTTTCGACAAAAATAACAATTTTATTGAGCAACAAATGCAGAGTCCGGTTGTACTTTTTTGTTGACAGTTTCTCAGTCAATTACCTGACATTCTCCTAGGTCATTATTCAGCACTGTGAAGTCGAGCAACAGATCTTCAACGTTTCCTGTCCAGTTTTTGATGGACAGCAAGTTCCTAGGCACGCCAAAAAATAGAAAGAAACAAATAGAAAAAACAAAAACAAAAACAAAAAAGGCAAACAAATATTGTAATGCACATAAAAACAATGTCACGTTAGATAACCTTCTAATTCTCGGCGTCTCATGGCTTTCAGCGAGTGAAAACGACGGACATAGCCTTTCTCATCGTTTTCATGAACTTCGAGAAAAATTACTATAATAGTATTAATATTTGTAGTAAGATAAAGTACAAGGGGCAAACATAAAAAAACACTTAAAGAGGCTAGGACGAACAAAGAAAAACTGAAAGACAAAACAAGAGTCATGATAGTACCTGCACATTTCTGGATCAAGCGACTCAAGATGATGGATATCCACATCAGTGCCAGGTTTACTGAGAAGTTTACATAAGAAGAATCTGGCAAATGGTAACTCCACCAACACCTTCTCATACAAAGCCTGAAAATAATAAGAGAATAAAAATGAAGAACATGACGGTAACGCCGAAGTTGTCAGTGTTAGCCCATCACATCAAAACCCTGGGAATTCTAACAAGCTATGAATTTATTTTATTACCTCTAATATGATTACCCGAAAATGTAATTTTGTCTAACAATTTTTCCCTTCTATCTGAACTGTCCACTGTAATAAATGATAAATAAACAAAATAAATAGAGAGATAGACAAATAACTAAAATCCATAAATCAAGGAATCAATGAATCATTGAATGAATGAATAAATCAACGAATCAATGAACCAATGAGTAAATGAATAACTGAATAACTGAATGAATAAAGAAATGAGAGAAAGAATAAATTAATAAAAAAATAAAAAATAAAAAATAAAAAATAAAGGACACAAACCTTTCCTAACATTCTTCCGAGAAAACGGTAATGTTTCAGAAAATCTCTTGCTAATAAAGACGCCTGGATAATAAAAGCAAATAAACATATTAAAATATGGCCTGAATATAATAGTTGTGCTGTTCAGAGTGAACCTACAATAAAGGGAAACTTTTAGCAAAGTTGACCCATCACAGGATATTGTTATCGTACTGTTGTGTAATCAACAATTATTCCACGAGTGCGCGTTGGATATGAGATGGCAGATAACCAACGAGGCGCAGAGCGATGAGTTGGCTATAATCATTTCATATCCAGCAAGCGTGAGTGGATAATTGTTTTATTAAAAACGCCCACAAAATATAATGCGAATTCTTTCCGACTAAATTTGCATAAACAACCGATATTCAGCTTGTTTTTAATTTTGAGCAGACGCGTACAGTTACCATATTTGGAGACCATGGTATAATGGCTCATATACCATGATGGCTAAGCCAATCAGAGCTCTAGAATGCCATTATCCAATGATTCAGTTTTTAATAACATTGTTTACCCGTTCGATCACCCGGACGATCAAACTCAACCTTCTTTTGAAATGACTCCTGGGTTCAAACCTTTCACCGATTGTTTACACAATAAAAAAGTATTTATTATTATTATTATTATTATTATTATTATTATTTTAAGAACAAATGAAGGATAACGTCGGCATGTACGCACCTGAGGGTTAGGGTAGAGTAGCCTCTCGTGTGTCGACTTAAAAAAGCCAATGTTAGGATCAAATCCTGCTTTAAGCAGCTGGATTAAAAACTCCCTAAATATTTAACATAATAGTCAATCAATAAATTGGCAGTGCCGAATGTCCGTGCTTTAAAAAAAATGAATAAATAAAAATAGAATTTAACGCCATTACGGGGATATATTTTGTTCAAGAGGCCACGTCCTGGCATATCAAGGGAAAAAAAGGAAGACCAAAGGATGATCTCGCCTCTCGGATACATTAAGCCTGAGAGCACGTTCTCTTTTTGACAAAAAATAGCAGTAAAGCGAACGCCAACGAGGCGTAAGGGATTGGGAGAGCTCGCCAGTCAATTCGCCTCTTCCGAGTTTAAAAAAAAAAGAGCTTGTCTATAATCTGCTACACAGCCGTTTTTAGTGTCGTCACGTAACGCTCCTCCCCACAAACGCAGTTTTGACGACACTAAAAATGGCTGCGCAGCACTTTCATTCCCGTTTTAATGAACCATTCATAAACGTTTGCAAGATCACAATACAATGACCTTCCGTAGTCATCATCATCCCAACGAGGCTGCCTACCTAAAAATCCCGCCACCGTCCACACCGGCCTCCTCCAGACCTTGGGCATTGATCATACGCACTCGCAACTTTTGTCTTAGGTTAGGGACTGAAGAGAAACATTACAACATGAAATGAAAGGCGCATACAATGCAGCTAAGGCCCTGTTCGGATGGAGAAAACTTGTCTCGGGTAAAGTGGCCACTCGAGTACCCGAGGTACTTACTTATAATTCCTTACAAAACTTGGCGAACCGTTTACGCGAGAAACAAAATGTTGGCTCAGCTAGAAGGGTGACCCACCAGCCCGGGTTACCCTTTATCGATGGCAGCGTCATCCTCCTAGAAGGGCCAACTTTTCTCCATATAAAAACTGGCTCGCCAGGCGGGTAAACTTGATCAAAGCGAGACAATAAGAGCATATGCGAACGTTGTTGTCAACTCTTGGCTCTGGCAAACTAGCCAACTTTTCTCGCTCGCTCAAGTGGTATCTTTCCTGCCAGGACAACTTGTCTTCATGTAAAAGGGTCCTAGCCTACTTTAAATAGCACCAAGTGACATCAAGGTTTAAAGGTGAGGAAAAAGACAAAGAATTGAAAACAAGCCTTTAGCCTTACAGTAAGCCCAGTGGCACGGTGCTCACCAAAAGCAACATCACAACAGGGATCAAAGAGATTGAAATAACTTAACTTTTACCCAGAAACAGTATTTCAAAATGCATTGCCACTATCAAAATCGTTCACGTGAAAACTAATAGACCAACAGTGACAAAAAAAATAACAAAACAAATAAACAAAGAAAAAAAGATATGAAAAACGAAACAAAAGCAAAACGACAAAGAAACAAATCATAAACTACTAAAACCATTGTTGCCTCGGCTCAAGGAGAAGCAGTAATGGTATCAAAAGGAAACAAAACGTAACAAAACAAATCAAAAACAAAAAGACAAACAACTTTAACAACAAACATTGTTAACGGCTCAAATGAAGCAGTCACTGTATTTAACAACGCGGAGTTCTCCTAACCCTTGTCTTCCGTTAGCTGATTGAACGCATCCTCGTAAATAGTGTTCCTGTTTATGGTCACATCAATAGCTGGGCCCATCATAAAGTTATGAAGTTCCCCTTGAGTGGCTGTGCGATTCTCTGCAATTATCCTCTGGACAACCTGTAGAAGAAATTTTGGGGTGATATAGTCAGCTGTATAAATTTATACTCAAACAAATATGTTTCCAGGAAATCTTCAAGGGACTGTAACGACACTTAATTCACTTAGTTTACTTGTGCTAATAACTCACAATGAAACTTAACGTCAGTCAAGAAGTTAGTTCTAAGAGACAAAATAGCTTCATAACAAACAATGTCTTTCGACAGTCAAATATAAAGTGCTTTGATACAACAGAGAAAAAAAGGGGGAAGGATTGAACGACTGCGCACTGCAGCAGCCGTGTCTTTGTGTTCGTTTATATTTTTTTGTACTTTATTTGAAGGTTCCGTCACTGTAAGTTATACGTGGTTATTTTCAAATTTCATTACATTTGGTGACCACTTCCCATTGGCTCAATTTGGCTATACTGCGTGACGCAGCTCCTTAAGACAGAAGCGTGAGACGAAGGAACGCAAAGCCTTTGGAACTCTCCGCTATCTATCTGCCTCTGAATCTCAACGAGAGGTAACTAAAAGGACCAGGATTTCTACGGTAGCTACGTCTGCTTCTTAGAGTCTGTCTTACAGAGAGCCAACAAATAAATGGCTGAAGAAACAGAGAGCACTAAGCAAATCTGGGCGGGTTGTTCACCATAAATATGGGCTTATATGGGATATGTCACGCCATTTGCCATCTTTTTCTTCTTTTAAAAATAAAATAAAATAATAACTATTCTCTTTCTTCGTATCAATTGAATTCCCATCCTCGGAGACGGGGGCAGGCAGTCGGGTCGGGAGAAAAGGCGCGAAGAAAGTTTTCAAGCACGGGGATACCAACTCTCACCGGGCCATTTTCAAACGGTCAAGTGAATGCTGGCTCCTGATGGGGCGCAAAAAATGCTCTGTATTATTGGGCCCAATTGGCGAATAGCATCTCCTGAGTTATTTTCGTGTATCCGCACACGACCGCTACTATCTCGCCATACTTGTCCGGTTTGTTCACCGAGGTTGTGCGTGCAAGAAAACTTTCATTTTCTACTTTCCTAACCAGAAACGAAGGAACTTCCGATGACTCGGGAAAACGTTTCGGATGCTATCAGCAGAACCGTTAATAGTAATAATAATAAAAATAATAATAACAATAATAATAATAATAATAATAATAATAATAATAATAACAATAATATGACTGTTCCATCAGATAGAAACATCGCACTGAAGGAAACTGAATAAAATGCAAGTACAAAGACCTAGAACTAGAAATACAGAGAATGTGGCATATGAAAACCGTAGTGATCCCTGTGGTTGTTGGTGCGCTTGGTACAGTGAAGAAGGGTATGGTAGAAAACATCAAGAAAGTATCAGAAAGAGCTAATATGACAGAGATTCAAATGATCTGCATGCTGGGATCTGCACGAATCCTCAGAAAGGTGCTCAGTGTATGAACAGAATGATTGACTTGAGTGACTGACGCTCTAGGTGCATGGTTTGCACCCAGCTGATGCACAAAAAGAACACCAGCAAAGACTGTGATAATAGAGACAATAATAATAATAATAATAATAATAATAATAATAACAATAACAATGGAATTTTTATAGCGCTTATACATCGCTGTTCTAAGCGCTTTACAATGTAAAAAAGGACATAAGAATATCATTAATCACAAGCTTACATATAACCCTGCTGTACTTATTGGGAAATTTATAGCATACACAAAAGGAAAGAAAACAAAAACAAATATGATGAAACTAAATGTCGTATACCTCTTTAAAACGAAACATTTTCAGCTTAGATTTAAAAAGATTAACATCAGAACAAGCTCGAATTTCAAAGGGGAGCTTGTTCCATGGTCGGGGGGCAGCAATGGAAAACGCTCGCTGGCCATAAGTTTTCTTTTAAAATTTGGTTCTTCAAGGCGTAAATGATTTCTTGATGACCGTAATGTCCTTGATTGATGGTAAAATTTTAAAATATCTTCAAGATAACGGCGACCGGAGTCATTCAATGTTTTAAAAGTTATTAAATTGATTTTAAAAACAATTCTCTCCTCAACAGGAAGCCAGTGAAGATCTCTTAGAGTCTCGGTGATGTGATCTCGTTTTTTGAGACCGGCTATAATTCGAGCAGCCGCATTCTGAACGGACTGCAACTTAACTATGTCCCGTTTTTGGGCACCAAAAAGAAGAGAATTACAATAGTCCAACTTCTAGCTAACACAACTGCGAATTAGAATTTCTGTGGTACTTTTATTGATGTATTTTCTTATTTAAGAAATATTTCGTATGTGACAGAAGGCACCCTTAACTATTGAATTAACATGTGGTGAAAGTGACATTCTGTCGTCAAAAATCACGCCAAGATTGCGAGCCTGTTGAGAGGGCCTGATGTTTTCCATGCCAACAGAAATCGTGGGAAGGAACAACGAATGACGAAAACAGGAGTGCAGAAAGAGAAATTCTGATTTATCATTGGTATCATTGGTTGGTAGTCATCCACAAATTGATGTCAGCAACGCAGTTCTCAAGACGTTGTTTTGCAGCCACTAGATCAGAGGTGTCATTGCAAGCAAAAGATGTTTAAAGCTGCGAGTCATCAGCATAAAAGTGAAACGACAAGCCATGCTCACGAACAATATCACCCAGCGGAGATGTATACAATAAGTAAAGCATGGGGCCTAGGACCGAACCTTGAGGCACACCCTAATGAAGGGGTCGTACCGTGGATGAAGCGTCGTCCACTTTCACAAGCTGAGTACGGTCTGTGAGGTAAGATCGTAGCCAAACCAGGGCTTTTCCTTTGATACTGAACCTAGAGGAGAGTCTTCCTAGAAGAATTTCATGATCAACCGTATCAAAGGCTGCAAAAAGATCCAATAGCAAAAGCAAAACACCGCGATGACTATCGATGGCTTTGAGGATATCATCCTCCCTGTACTCGAATCAGAGCTGTTTCACAGCTATGGTTAGCTTTATAAGCAGACTGAAGTTCCTTATTCAATCAATTTGAACATAAATATTCCCAGAGTTGCGTAGCCGCTACTTTTTCTGTCGCCTTGGACACAAGCATGAGGTTCGATACCGGTCTGAAGCTTGGATAGAGCTCAGCGTCAAGGGATGGTTTTTTAAGAAGAGGAGATAAAATAGCCCTTTTCATAGGCAGAGGAACTTCACCACTTTCTAAAGAGCAATTAACAATCTTTGTTAATCTTTGTTTCCAATTTGCACCGAGAAAGTTATGTTTCTGACCCATCAAAAGGTATCGTAAACAACAACTTTGCACGTACATCACCCTTTTTTTTACATTTCTTTGCCGTCACTGCACGACTACGACTTCTCAAACTCATTAGTAATTCATTAAGAAAATACAAAGGAAATTAATGTTTAATAAGTGTTTGGAAATCGGATGAAACACTGCTTAGTATTTGCATCCTTAATTTCTCCTTCAAAAATGATTTTGTTTGAGAAGAAATATCAAACATTCGACACAGTGTTTCATCACCAGATGAAACACCTCGAAGTTCGTCAAAAATACTCCGCTGCGCGTCGTATTTTCAACTCTCTTCTCGGTGTTTCATCTGGTGATGAAACACTGCATCTCATGTTTGATATATTACGTGAAAACGCCTAATTTCACGTTCTGTGGAGGAAGTAAACAAGCGATGACGAAATTTTCTTTCCCTTTCTGAACCTGGATATGGTTGTTTAATGTTAGGAATTCAGCTCCAGTAGAGTTCGCCTGCATTTGACAAAGTATGCGAGTCGGACTGAATAATCAAGATAGAGATTGAAAAAACGCGAATTCACTTTTCAAACGACGGTTCGTGGCCGTCGCCGTCGTGGTATCTTAAACTCCCTAATATTTATGAAGGCGTGATCGATGCAATTATGAATAGGTGTTGTAAGCTTAAGCTTGTATTTTTGGAGAAGCGTCTTTTAAATACCCTTGCACACGTTTCCATGTTTTGGTTTCCGGTAGAACGTATTTTGAAATGGACGGGGTTTATATCAAACTGAAAGTTTCCTGACTGCGTACATTTCGTTGGTGAACGAACCGGACAAGTATGGCGAGACAAGAGCCTTCGTGTGCCTACACACGAAATAAAACTCAGGAGCTGTTGTTCGCTGATTGGGCACAATAATACACAGCATTGTTTGTGCCCAGCCAGGAGCCAGCATTCGCTTGACCGTTTGGAAATGGTTCGGTGAGAGTCGATACCCAGGGGCTCTTCCGCCCGTGCTTGAAAACTTTCTTCCCGATCCGACTGACTGTCCCTGGGTCTCCGAGGATGTTGAATTCCAAATAATATAATGGTCCAGATTTGTTACTGAAGGGTATATTTAGGCAATGAAACTTTTTCCTGTCGTCTAATGTAACGGATGGCAAGGATGGACATGGATTGAAACTTGAAAAAGTTGGGACTTTTTCAAGTTCTAATGCTGTACTTTCAACAATCACTAAAAAATTTATTACGCTTAGTGCTACCTGATGAAATTTGTTTGATATCTTCGTCATAACTCCACAGGGGCATGTTGTGTTTGGGTAAAATCACTTAGTCAAGACTTCAGCACAGAATTGACCTATCCACGTGACATAGCACTTTCAAAGGTAGGCTCACGGTTTGGGCAGACGGTAAACAAAAGTCACGACTGGTATATTACGTTAGCGAATAGAGTTTACCATTTGCATAAAACAGTAATCATTTCCCGAAAACTGGAACCGGTATCAAAGATGGGTTTAAAGAAACGGAACAAGAATTTCACGAGAGGTTCTGCCATGCAACATACTTTCCAAAAAAAAAAAAGAAAAAAAAAGAAAAAAAACAACAACCACAAAAACCTGGGTGTCCGTTTTAGGGAGGTGATTAGTCACGAGAGAGGTAGCTGTATCTTGTAACACTTAACTAGCTTTCATTACCAAACTCTTAATTACTATTATTATTTTTATGTCGATACTTTT